GTTTGTACCATTTCCTTGAGAGCGGAAACAAGGCGAACGGTGGACAACATCCGAGGATTATGGAGGGCGTGTAGTATTCCTAAACGCTCCATGTATCTCAAGATGGATGGCATGTTTACTTACATGGGGTGGAGTTAGAAATGGGGTCAATGTAGGCATATGTTTCTGCATACATCTAGGATTCTATTTTTGGTATACCCCAGCAACTAGCCTGGACGTTTCCAGGCTCTCAAGGCTCCGATTCTGACGAAACCATGCCACACCTGGGAATTTTCCTGCAAAACCTGCCGCCCAAACCCATGGGTGTCTGGTTGATTGTGAGCATTAGAGCACGTTCCAAAGCACGGGCCCCCATGTGGATATTCCCTCCACCCGAAAGTGAGATCCAGGTCCGATTCCTTGACTCATGAGCTCTCACTCACCAGGTGATTTTCTGACATTTGATGAGTAGCTGCTACCCTCCTCTACCTTGCCCGCAGAAAAAAAGCACAAATTGATACAACATGATACAACTTGGAGATTGTCTGTGCTAGGTCCATTTGCTGGGCAAACTGTTTAAGTTTAAGCAGCAAAGCAGTTTGAACCCCAACTCAACCATGGGGGGTGAGATGAAGAGCGCTTCGTCTTACATATTCTCGCATCAAAAACCAAACACTAGGAGAGTCGAAGGGAGAACTACAATCATATCGACCATATCCCAGACACTCCACGGGACTGGACTATATGTGCCTACAACTATACCTACATTGGGGTGATTTCAGTGGCCAACGTAGGCATACTGCATACTTATGCTAGGCATGTATATTCAGTACATTCCAGTCCCATGGAAAGTCTGGCTCTGGGCCCTGGGCGTCCTTCAACCAAGGTCGGCTCTCTAGACCGGTGCCCGGTTCAACCCGGATGACGACCGACGTGCAGTCCGCCATTTGGACGAACTGGGTGTGTATGATCGATCCCTCGAGCTTTTGCTCTTCAAACACACGAACATCCGGCACAGGGAGGTGCCCCTATTCAAACACACACAAAACACTATCAAAAAAGAACATCAAAACGACGATCAAACACTTATACTGGCTTATACTTATACTGGTGCCCCTTCTGATCATCCTTTTTCGACGGGTCGCCATGTCGCTCGACGGGTCGACGGGTCACGTGGCGGACGCTTCCTCCAGGAACGCGTAAGCCGGTAAGGGGACAGCTCTTGTCCTCCACAAACCATCTGGTTCAATGTTCATCACTCATTCAGTGCATGTTTTCATGATCTGTTTTCAGGTTGTTTTCTTTCCTTCTTCTTCCTCCTATTGTTGTTCGTCCTTTTCGAGCTTCACCCGCGGTGTGCGTCAGTTCAAACACTCGTCGTTTTCACCGAGCATCGCTCGCACCACCGAGGTCGCCAACAACAAGTCATAGAAACTCACGCGGTAGGCCTCGCGGGAGTTCGCACGGACGCTACTCGGGTCGTCGTGTGTGGTGGGCACGGTTGCACCACCGAAGTTGTTGTTTGCTTTTTTCTTCTGCACAAAGCGATGAGTTGCATGCCTATAGCCTTACGTGATCGTTATTTCTTGGGGTGTTTGGCCCAGTTTGGGAGGTTTGTTCGCATGCCTTCAGCGGCCGTGGCGCTTTTGAGGGGTTTTCTTCCCAGGCCCAAGATGGGCCATGTCAGACTCGTGCTTGCGTCGCGCGACTGCCCTCTTAGTGTTTGGCCGTTGGTGACTTTTCTCAATCAGTCACAAGCTTCCACCCTGCTGTATCCACTGGATACGTTTTCAGCGGTTCGGACCGTGCACAATGAGAAGTAAGGCTCCTTAGTTCGTGGCTTGCGTTGGGGGATGCTGGGGGATGCCTTGCCATTGAAGCTTTACCTGCAACAATGCGCAACAAAGCATTAACTACATGATTCGGCCCGGAGCGATCGTGTAAAAGAACATCCAAGAAAGTGAGACCTGATGTTCAATCCATGAAGGATTGGGGCCACTGAGAGCAAAGGGATTCCTTCACACAAATGATACACACAGTTTAAGTTAAATATGGATCTCTATGTTAAAGCCCAACATTGGTCAACAATTGTTTCTTTTAAATCATGGCACTAGTCTCCCTCATTCCCCCAATTGCTCACACGCTCACCATTAAATGCTTGGAAGATAAGGTCTTCTTCTACAAAGTACGTGTTCCAGCGGAGAGTATTTTGACCAAACACATGAGCCCAAACAGTTCCTTGTTTCAACCTAGCATATGTGAGAAATAGCTTGCAAGTTAAAGTATATATATGTATAGTTACCACTATAGTTACCCTACGTGATGACATGCATGCATCTATGGTTTGACTCCTTTTGATGCCACCTGCCTGTTTGATCTGCTTGGCGCAAAACAGTTGAACATACTTGGACACCCTCTGTCCCTCTGTGTGTCAGGCAGTGGTCTGGAGATTGCGTCAGAGAGGACCCCTACCCCACCCAAACACCGGATCCTTTTGTTGAAAAGCATGATCTACCCTCCCGAAAAGGAAACCTGGAGACCCGGAGTCCGACTGTTTTCCTCTAGCTGCAGTGGTTTTCCATGGCTTTTTCAGCTGTCCATGTGTATCTCCTGTGGATTCCCAAGCACCGAAGAGCACCCGTGCGACCACCGGGCCCAAACGCCGGAAAAGAAACGAAACACATTTTCTCAGAGAGAACAGAAGTCTGGAAGAAGTCAGGAAGCCGCCAAGTTCTGGGAAAACATCTGTTGCACCGCGAGATGTAGAAGGCATCTCCCAAAACGGCAGGGGATCCACTTTGTCCTGGGTATACTACCTGCAAATGACTTAGGCAGACAGAAATGACTTAGCCCAAATGACTTAGCCCTATAGGTCGAAGAGCCTTCCCCTTTGCCACCACACCCTCTTGCCTCACAGGAGGTTGCTGCGTGCATGGCTGCACCGTACTCATAGGCGATGTGCTCCGGCAAGATGGAGCCAGAACTAAAGAGCCTGACGATGACGTGAAAACGTGCAACACTTGACATCCAACCAGTTGGACAATTTGAGAGGTATAAGAGACTCTCCAAACGACTGGATCTTTAGTTGATTTGTGGCGGGTGTTCCTCTTCCGAATCGTGTGGAGGTCCTCCTCAATACACACTCATTCGCTCACACCCAAATTTGGAACAAAAGCAATGGTCTGATCCAAAGGACGAGTGTTCAACGGTCGCTGCAAGTGTTCAACGGTCGTCACCTTTGATAAAATCTCAGAGAGTCTCATCTACAATTTGGTAGGGATCCAGTCGTACCGAAGCTCAGAAGGTACGACTGGACCCTCAAAACCTACATAAGAATGTCTCCAATCACCTGAGAAGGTACTTGGATCCCTAGGGATAATATATAATCATAACATCATTCTTTTTTGACCCATTGCACACGTCATGTTCTTCGGCTCTGGTGGTCCGGCAGTTTGTGTACAGTGCTTTTTCTCCTGCCATAGGTCCTCGAGAAGCTCCGCAGGAGTTCCACATCTCCACCGAAAGGGCAAAACGTGTGGCACAAACAAAGTTTTCAGTGGTAGCTGATGGCAGCGAAATTGGTCGAGTCTCCACTGGCCACTCTGGAGCTGCTTCTGGTTCCACGAATGGGCAGCAGCCTCCATGAACATTGAAATGGATCTGAACTAGACCATGAGTCCAAAGGCCCTCGCTTTCAACGCCCTTTCCACTGCTCGGGGGTCCCTGCATGATGTGCCGAGAGCCCATCAGCAGATTCAGACTGCCTCGACAAGGGCGAGGCAGTATACTCGGCCCGTGAGAGCCAAGTATGACCAAAACACGATGCTACGGGGCAAGAAAGTGCCTGGTCAAAGAATGCATTTTTGTGACATATTATGTTCATAAAACTTTGCGGTGACCTAACATGTTTGAAGTTCTTTCAGTTCCTTTTCTGTCAACAAAAGCCAAGAGGAAGGCGAAGGACCAAGATCTTGCTGAGGATCCGAATTAGAAGCAGCAGTGAGATATACGTGTGTCGGTTTATTGCTTGCTTGCCTCCCAAAAAAATGCGAAGCCCCCTGCCAAACATCCCAGTTGTTCCCGCGTATCACATGCATCGCCCGGCGTGGCGAGCGTCGCCGGGTGTGAAACCGGGTGCCGAAGGTCGGCATCCCGGCACCGCTGCAGCTTTGGGGTGTAACCCATGTTGCCATAGTATCCCAATTGAACTCTGGAAAAATTCAAAGGAATTTATTGAACAAATTCGAACGAGGAATCGACCTGATTTGTTCACCCTTTCGATGGGTGACCCCGGAAGATTTGAACGAAATCCCGAACTCTGCACCATAATCTACTTGGGGGCACACAAATATATATCCCATAAAATAACCAATAACCATCATATCATCCACCACTTCTTTCGCTCACGTTCGCCATCAATGTCAAAAACACGAACTCGTTCGCTCTTCGTTTCACCGCTGGCCTGAGACCAAGACCCAATAGTGCGGCCCCTGCCTGGCGCGCTTTCCGCGTCCGATCTCCCTCGATCGGGATCGAGACACCGGCCTTCTGGAGGTGCCAGAGGTCGATGTGTGGCGAATCGGGTATGACATCGGGTCGAGTCCATCGGGTACAGCGGGTCAGTCCAAAAACACATCTGAGTTGAGCTGCGACACAAAGAACTGAGAAGCAACCTCCCATTCCTAATCTTTTAGAAGTTGCAAGGAGCACCTCTCTATACACTTCTTTCATCTTCCTTGCTCTGTTTTACAACAGCTTCGTTCCGAACCCTGCTTCACGGAGGCACCCGCCAAGCCAAAGTATCCAAAACATGTTGAGACCGTCACTTGCTGCCTGCAAAAAGAATCAAACAAATACAAACATATCTCTTCAAGTCTTCAGCTACTGCTGTTCACCTCGGTGTTCTTGTTGAAACACGTTGTGGCTCCCATATTATCCTCAGGTACCACATATGGGGCCCCAGACCGGGGGGTCTGACAGCTGGAACCGACCAGTGTGTGAAACAGCTGACTACTACGAAGTCATCGCCGGCAGGGCGACAAGCTCTTGGGCACGAAGACATCGCCCGTGTTGAAGTTGTAGCGGATGGCGTGGAGCGCCACGGCCCGAGCCACCACATCCTTGACCTCGAAGACGAGAACCACCGGTCGATGGGGAAGAAAGGGGTTCGGATCCACAATGATCCACTATCACCACCGGACCGACCTGGTTCGGTATGACTGGGCCCTCCCTGGCGCCTACATAAATAGTCTCCCTGCTCATGCCTCAGGTTATAGGTATGTGGATCCATAGGGGTTCAGTGTGAGATATGATTTGTGTATAGTGCCAATGGTCCACGAGATCGGCTGGCTATCAGGCTGGGATGTCCCTCGGGCATGGACTTACCTAGAACGACCTCTGTTTTGTTTGCATCACCAACCAAACAAATTGCTTGAAGATATATCCCAGACACTCCATGGGACTGCCATATATGCCACCCCATTGACCCCCAAAACCACCCCAACTGATCGGCAGTCCTAGGGCAGTCCCAAACAGGTCTCGTCTGGGTAAGTCTACGTGCCCTGTGCGGGGTACAGGATGCGGTACATGTCTCTTTCCCATGTGGATCCCCTTCTTTTTACCGTCGAAGGTCTGTGGTTGCTGCAACCGGCATTGGTTTTGTTTCTGTCCTGGAAATCTGTGTCAAAATTTAAGTGACCCCAACATTCTGGTAACAAAGCAAGTCTTAGAACTGCTGGAGTTCATGTCCCCTAAACCCCTCAAACAGGCTTTCTTACCCTAGATTGAAGCAACCAATCATTGACGCTTGACGCAAATCCATGGTGCCGTAGTCACAGTTGTTCACTTGTTCAATACTGTTCCTCTCTGTTTCTGATGTCTGCGTCCAGTGATACAAACCCAAACCCAGAACCCAAACCCCAACATCCCCAACCTTCAAACAAACCCAGAACCCAAACCCAAACCTTCAGTGATACAACCAAACCCAAACCTTCAAACAATTCCACCAAACCTGAGCAAGCTCATCTGGTTTGAACACCTGTCTCAATCTGTTTGGTGCGAACCTCCCTGCGTTCGTCGTGGCAGGGTATGACATTGCTGTGTGAAAACCGCGATTCAGATCGTGGCCGAAACCGGTTCAGAATCGTGATTGACATGCTGGAACTGACGAAATGTGCAAGGTTCATGGGGTGAACTCTCATGGGGGTTGCTCTTTTACTGCAAAAAATAGGTGAACAACCTGACAAATTAGGAACCTTAAGGTCTCATAGCACAAGAAACCACCATATATAGAAAAGGCTTGGCAAGCTCGCAAAAGGAATGGTTTCATGGTCTGAGAAGCTGTAGAGGTGAAAAAAGGTCTTACAATTGCAAGATAGCGGGTTCACACGCTAGGGGGTCATGCGCAGCACAGTCTGCGTCTTTTCGAGCATAGCTCAAGGGCCCTGCGGTCACAGGGTCGTGAGGTTCGAACGACATGGACACATGCCAAACTTGCACTGGTCTTTCTTTAAAAAGACGAAAAAGTGCTTTTGAGGTTCTGTACAGTGCTATGGACTCCGCGACTGCATGTCAAAGTCGTCGATGGAGTCGCTTCGGCCGCCACCATGGAAAGGTGCCCTTCGTCAAGGATCTTCCTCAGCTCATGCTGGGGCTTGATCTTGGTCAAGTGGTCGGCACGTTGAACGTGTGTCGAAACCCACTTGTAGACGTCCTTGACGTTCTCTCCGGAGGGCTCCAACTCCTCAGCCGCTTCTCGCAAGGCGCCGATGTCCAAGGTCAGGCGCTTCTCCTGAGTGCTTCCCAAGGGGCCGTCCTTCACCAGGAGGTCGTAGAGCGAGCGGCAGTCTGTGGCCGTGGCTGCTGGAAAAATCTCGGGCGCCAATCTGCCCGATTGTGTCGGCTGGTAGCTCTCGATGAGCATCTCGGCCAGCAGCTCCCTCGTGAACAGCACTGCATCTGTGGCAGCGTCCAATCCCATGGTTTCCGCAGCAAGCGTAGATCTGCACTTGCGACGGATCCTGTGTGACCTCCATTCCACCAGGTTCGCCACATCGCCGGCCAAGGTGAAGACCTCTGGGCCAGTGATGAAGACCAAATAGCCAGCCTGGGACTTCAAGTCGTCCGTGTTCGCCCATGATGCATCGCTGAAGCCAATGATGCGGGCTTTTGTCAAGTCCAATGGCCGGAATTGGAGTGCCCAATCCTTTGATTTCAGTGCCTCCTTCAAGAGGTTGTTGATGGCGAGGAGGTTCTGGATGGTAGGATTTCCACCCATGTTCAAGGATGTTCCTGCGGCCAGGTCGGGACGTGTCTGTCCGACAAGCCAATGCAAACAGCCTCCACCGCTCTTGAGCTCGGTGGTTTCTTGGGCGTTGAGTGCCGAGTCCTTCATGATGGTCCTCCACTTCGGCACGGGTGTCAATGTCAAAGCCCTGATGAAAGCTTCTTGCGACAGTGTGATGATGTCGCCCTTCTTGGAAATCTCCTTGCCGCCATAAATCAAAGTTGGCTCCTCTCTGATGTCCTTCCATTCACCAAAGTCAAACTGGGCTCGAAGACGTTCAAGGACTTTGTCTCCAACTCCAGGCTCGCCCACACATAGAAGGTCATCCACGTGTGCGCCAACTGCCACAACCAGTCGCTTGTCCTGGTAGAAGAGGAAGACGGCCTTGTCGAGCGTCGACTGCATGAAGCCCAACTTCACCATGGAGTCCCGCAGGTGCCGCCAAAAAAGGCGTGGTGAGTTTGCCAAACCAAAGATGCCCCTAACAACCAAAAGCAACTGGCCAGGGTGTAGTCCTGGTAGTCCTTCTTTCGGCTGCCTCACAAACAAAGGCTCTTTCCTTTTCGCTAGGGCCTGATCACCCTGCAAGAACGCGCCAGTGATGTCAGCGCAAATGATGAACCAGCCCTTGTGAGCAGCTGCAAGTTGCAGGAGGATCATGAGGCTGAGACGTGTCATCGTGGGAGCGTCTCTTCGAAGTTCCAGCAAATCTGGATCTGCATCTCCTCTGCAAACGATGCGGGCCTTTGGTTTGATCTCTAACCAGGGCGTTGCGGCGTGCTTGTCACGGTAGCACACCCGAGCCGCCAAGATCCGAGCGGGATCAAAGGACAGTTCCACCTGTCGGCTGCAGTCCCAACTCAACACACGAACGGCCTCGTAGCGAAGCCAGGTTGTCCATTCTTTGACCAGCGCCTGTCGGTAGAGCTCCCGTTGGTCTTCGGGAATTGCACTCCAGGGAAGCTCCTTCTCAAGTGCTTTGCGCTCTTTGCGGCTGATCTCGGACTGCATCTCCAGCACGTTGTGGATCGCCATGACGTGGCTCTTCTTGTCGATGATGGAGAAGATGGTCACGCCAGTCCAGACCTTGCCCATGACCTCGGCTCCACGTTGGACCCAATCATCCACGTGCTTAGTCCAGCCGGTGTCGGTTTTCATCCATGTCACTCTCTTGGTTCTCCATTTGTCCAAAGGAAGTGGAAGTGCTCGGACACGGCCAGGGTCGTATAGGGCTCGACGTGGTCGAAGGTGTTGTCGGAGAAGTAGTGCACGGTCGGGAAGCCATTTCCACTTGTCATCGGTGTGCACCAGCTCCACGTTGTGCTCTCCAGGTGGTGTTGCAGGTTCTAAGACCATAGATTCTTCTGGTGGATTACTTGCCTGTGAACCACTTGGCGTGGTCTTCAATCTCTTTGGAGGTGCTAGGGATTCTTCTCGGGACGAAGGAGGCCTGATGATGCCTGTCACTGGCGTCCCCGGTGCTCTTGTTGAAGTCCCGGCCGCCAGAGTAGTCAGATCGGAACCTGTCGAAGCGGCTCCATCTGGTTCTGGAGGTGGTGGATGTTGATCGGCTTCACCAGTCTCCATCTCTGCCTCCTGCTCTTCAGGGAACTCGTCGATGAGGTCGTTGAAGACACTATCATCATCTTGGAAGAGGGGGATCTGGTCTTCACCATCCTTGAGGTCATCATCCTCCGGAACCGGTGGCAGATCTCTGCTTCTCAGGTCGTAGTACTTGTCCGGAGGGTTCTCCTGGAACTCCTGGAGGATGTGCTCATGCACGGGCCAAAGTTCTGTTCCAAAGGCGGGTCGAAGTTGTTCTCGAGCGACCAGAACACAGCGGCCTCCAGAAGCGACCCAGTAGTTGCTTTGCTTGACCGAAGAGTCACCCTTGTGAGGTCCGATGATGGTGCCTCTGTACCAGGAAGCTGGAATGCGCTTCCCTTTCTGCCCTTTCTTGCCTTGCCTGTATTTGGCTTCTCTCCAAAAGGCGACCAGTTCACCTGGATGGTAGAGCTCCTTCGCTGGGTGTGACTTACGAAGGATGGCGGTACGCACCGCTTCATTGAGGCGATAGGCAGAAAGCTTCTCATCGGCCAAAGCCCGTGTGCGGGCGCGCTTCTTGAGCTCATCGTCCAGCTCCATGGCCTGCAGCGCCTCAAACTTGCCGTCCGGCGACAGAATGTCCTGTGGCAGGACAGGACTCTTGCCGAACACCCATTGGTAGGCAGAGCATCCCGCGCTCCGTATCCGGTCGTTCATGGCTGCGCAAACGGCGCAAGCTAGAGTGCGCATGTCTCGCTCTCCAGCGAGGTTCAAAGCATCCACAAGCTTGGAGGCTACGTGTTGGAAAGCACGGTTATATGCCTCGATCTGTCCCACTTGCCAATGTGCTTCAGCAGGGGGGCAGTCTATGTTGACTCCCATGTTCCTCATGCGCTCTGCAAACTCGCCTTGGAAAGCGCCGTCCTGGTCAATCCAAAGCTCTTTGGGAAAGCCTGCCCAGGAGCACCACAACAAGGTCACCAGGTCGAAGATCTGGCCAGGCTCTCGTGTGGGGCATGGCCAAAACACGTTGAAGGAACCGTTGGGCTCCAGGATGTGCAAAAAGGCGAAGTTGTCCTTGTTGGCATCCGGGGCATAGACAAAGTCCAGGCAGAGCTTGCTGTTAAAGGAGCCAATGACCTTGAACGAGGTGGGCCTTGGTATTCCAGGCTTCTTGGTTCTCTCGCAGGTAGCGCATCTCAACCTGCGACTAAGTTCAATCGCATCGGGCTCAACTGTTCCATCTTGGATCAAGGCCCTCGTCAGGTCGGCTTGTGAAGGGTGGCCCAAGTTCTTGTGCAGCTTTGCCAGTATTGGGGCCAACTTCTTCTGCTTGTTGTTGAGAGGTGGACCAACGGACTGCTTGGTCAGTATTGGCGATTCCAGGTCCACTGTCGGGTCGGCTTGCACTGATTGCCTTAGAGGTTCTTGTTGAGGAGCGGGTTCTGCTGTGAGTGAATCATCTGCATGTAGTAGCACCGAGCAACGATGGCATTCTTCTAGTCCAGGTCGAACTCGCTTCGCTTTTGGCAGGTGTGCCAACTGGATGTTCATGATTTGCCAAGGAACCAATGCCGAGATCTTGGCATAGAGAGGTGAATCCGGCGGCACAAAAATGCTGCCTTGGTTCTTGCGACCCAAGACCTCCATGGCCTCTTCAAACAAGGGCCGCCACTTGTCCTCGGACTTGTCCGCGTCCACGAACCAAGCCGTCTTATAGTTCTCCTCCTCGTTGAAGGTCTGGGTGCCAAAGTCTTCCTGCTCAACCACTCTCCAGAAGGCGCGACAAATGGCGTCTGCCAGAAAAGGTGGGTAGCATGCTGAGGCTGCGGTATTGGAACCTTGAACGGGTTCATGTTGGTGCGAGCCATCGCACTGTGCGTCCAGCTCTTCAATGAAGTAGGAGTGAGTGGCGATGAAGCGAACCCGCTTCATCATAGGGCTGCCAGCCTTCCCAACTAACCCGAACATGCAGAGTAGTACTTCTCCCGAAGGCGGAGAATTTCAGGTTGCCGTTGTGAATCTGCAGTCGCGGGGTTCTCACATAGAGCATGGCCTCCATTCTGTACCTGGACGGAGAAGATGTCCTCCGTCAGCTTCAAGAAGGGTCGGTCACGTTCTTGTCGAGCTTCCAACTCCTCGGGCTTGTCCTTATAGTTGACGTTCCTTTGCAGGATGGTCCACGGTGTGCAGGGGTACTCCACGATGGCCAAGCGAACCGGGGTCTTCTTGAGGTTCTGGAGCAGCCATCTCCTCATTGATCTTTGCCGAAGATCCACACCGTACCGGATGTCCAAGGGTTGAAGCGCCCTCATCCTCCACAAGGTGGTGCCACGTATCGTGACCATGGAAGATCCACCAAACACTTCGATGAGGTCGAATCGGAAGTTGGAACGTGGCCACTTGGACTTCTGAAGCTTCTGCATCACCATCTTCTGTTGCCACTTCGAAGATGACAAAGCTTGCCGGGCCATGTTCTTCATCCGCTTCTGTTGTCCAGGCTTCAGCTTATGGGCTTGAAGAGGTTCATCTAGCCTTCGAACTCGTCCTCGCTGATCATGACCGCGTCGTTCTCGTCCAGCGAGTAGACCACGGGCACTCTGGTCGAAGTCTTCTTCATGCCAGTGGGCTTCTTCTCTTCCTTCACCTTGGCTTTCGCCTTGGCCTTGATGTCCTTGAAGTCCGGAGCTCCATAGGCCATCTCCGTAGACGTATGTCGCGAGGAAGACGAGTAGCCAGAGGATTTGCTGGATGAAGCCTTTATTGAAGGTTCCGGGCGTGCTGTCGCGCCCTTGATGACCTTGCCGCCTGGTCGATCGCGAACTCCCACCAAGACCTTGTACACGGTCACCAGCTCATTCTTCAGCGGGATCGTGTAGTCCAAGCCGCGCCACACCATCCCACAGTTGACGCACTCCAAAAACTTGCCATGGGCGTTTCCATACCTCCTTCCATGTTCGAGGAGGTGTGGGCATCTGTCCGGCTGAGTCCGGTAGTGCAGGTTCATCGGATGGGGTGTCTGTCCGCGAGCCAAGGTCGTTGCCGGTGGCAAAGCCGGTGGAAGGTCCTCCATGTAGGTCGCATCCATCTCGACCAGAGCCTCGGCATAGCCCATCAGCGCCGGTGAGCGATACTTCAACTCTCTCACCGCCTTCGTTGAAGCCACCATCTTGTGCACCACGTGGATGTAGGTCAGGAGGCTGCGCACCAAGCGTCCCCATTGCTGCGTCTCGTGGTCGCCAGGGACGTGAGCTTTCCTCATCGAGGGGCTTGGTCGCGATGCTGTCTCTTGACCCGAACTCTCCGGGAGGCACGGTGAATCTCACAGCTTGTCGATCCACCGGCAAATCCGGTGGGTGTACAGAAGCATCAAAAGCTTTCAGGACACGTTTGTGTACGGTGCACTTGACTGAAGATGGATGAACACGAAGGGTCTCACCTGATTCTAGCGACACATCTACACCAGCTGGTTGCCAGGGCTTCATGACTGCATGAATGTCGAGCGTCGAGTCGCAGTCACGGCCGAAGAGAATGGTGTAGCCCGTCCAAGGTGCTTCAGATTGAGGGGTGTCATCCCAAGTGTCCACCAACTCTTTGTTAGACCCATGCTTGATGGTGATCCTGAGGGGTTGCAGTTCATCAGGTCGGGGACCATCAACCACTTCAGAAGGGGTGAACCTTGTGGATCTTGGACGGTGGTGGTGTCGAACATATACCTGAGGATGATCAAGGTGGTATTCCCATGTATCTGACTGTATAGTGCATGGAGACCTCATAGTGATTACGCCATCAGAGAAGGGATCATCCTCAGGGTTGTAGACATGGGTGCTCACGTTGGAGGGCTGCATATAGACTTTTCCTGTGGCCCAAAGGACTCCAGCGTAGCCGTCATGGCATGCTGTGCGGTCTTGTGGCCAGCCTGCAGCCGGAAAATCATCAACTGCCACAACCAAATGTCCGGTGTGGTCTACAAAAAGATCCGCAGCGGCATCTAAGGCCTTGAGGTAGATCTTCTGCTCTCCAACGTCGATCACGGCTCGAACGAGCCTCAGCCAGTCTTGTCCAGCCAGCCAGGGGATCTTGCCGCTGTTGGGGTCCGTGTCGTCCAGAGTGGACGTCTTGATCACTGTCGGTCGTCCACCGATGCCTACCGGCACGTGCCAACGGTGAAGTGAGGTGCGAGGATCTCCAGGACCGAACCTGTAGGATTCCTTCTCCTCAGTGATCAGGGGCCGGACTTCGAACTTGCGCTGCAAGATCTCCGCGACATGTCGGAGCTGGGTGAGGCCACCAACGGTGTTCTCACATGCAGTGTCAATGGTGAGGTAGGCGCCGTTCTTCTGCACGGTAGGCCTCATTCTCGTGTTGCTCAATGCGCCACGAGGGTTGCACCAAGTGATCTCTGTCATGTCGTCCTCGTCCGAGGTGATGTCATAGTCAATGGGGGAGTACTGCACCATGTGAACAGGTAGAGGTCGATCGTGTGGAAGGCCTCGAGGTAGGCATTCTCCAGGAAGTCCGTGTGCTGGTACTTCGCGATGTGGTCTCTCCGCATTGACTGTCAGCACCACTCGTAGCTTGTCCAAGTCGACATCCGAGGTTGCCGAGGAGGAAGACGGTGGGCGTAGTAAATCCCACACTGAGAAGCCAAGGTCGTCATCTGCTTGAGGGAGTCCAAGACGTTCTCGTGCTTCCTTGATGGCCTCCGGTGCGGTCGATGCATGGCCGCGAGCCTTCATCCGCTTCTCATCCATGCGCTTCTGCACCTCTGCCGTCGCGGTGAAGACGTCGAAGGGCTTGTCCTTGCTGCGGGCATGCTCGGCCAGGAGGACGGATGCAGCCTTGGATGGTTCGGTCTTCTGCCCTTCGCCAGTCGGATCTGGCTCGGCTGAGCGAACCTTCCGCTTCATGCGGTTGATGTCTCGCACCACTTCCAAGGCGTCTTGGGCTTCCAACTTGATGTCGGACTTGTCCACCTTCTGAGTGCGGTAGACGGTTGACGAACTTGTTGGCTTCGCCTGTGCATTGTAGTCGGAAGACTTAGGAGACGAAGTAGTTGGCATTTTCTGGCTGTAGAGCTCGTTCTGGTCGTAGCCGCCACCAGTCATCCAACCTTCACGCTGGTGTTCTTCATCTTCCTGCCATCCATCCCAAAAGGCATCGTCCCAGCCCTCTGCAGCGTCCTCATAGTCGAGGTCATAGTTACTGGTCTCGTGCGCCTTCTTGGGACCTTTGCACTGTGGATCACCTTTCCAGTGACCCTGCTCCAGGCAATCACCACAAGTGGTGATCTTCTTGAGTTCATCCAGGCTCATGCCACGGGCCTTGCCCTTGCCAGAGCTCGAAGAACCCTTGGAAGGTCGCGAAGTCGAAGGAGAGGATGTAGATTTGCCCTTGCCCTTGCCCTTGGTCTTACCAAAGCCTTTGCCGCGGCCCTTGCCGTGGCTGTTCTTCAGGTAGAAGCCTCTGGCCTTCACAGCCTGTGCCAGCTTCTGCCTGTTCTCACGGTGTGTAGCAAACACCTCACGCAACTGTCGGGCAAGGTCCTCGGGGAGGTACTCGACGTCCGCGTCCGCCAAGGTCTCAACGGGGTCTTCCTTCTCCAGCCATGTCTCCAGGTCGACCTCGGTGTCGTAGGTCTCATTGCCATCCCAGTGGCCCTGAGTCTCGTGTGCTGTCCTTGACTTGCCATAGCCGCGACCAGTGTTTTGGTCAAAAGCGCCACGGCGAGCGTTGACATAGGTCTGAGGGTAGAGGAGGTCCACGGCGGCCTTGATCTTCTTCCACTCATAGCCGCCTCCGGTCCGCAACAGGATGTTGGCCTGTCGCTCCAAGCTGCTATTGGTGTGCTCGAAGAACATGTAGGTCATGATCTCGTCGGGGATCACCAAGCCGGCTTCCTTGCACTGCCTCGCAGCCTTGTCCAGCATGTCGCCAACTTCAGCTAGGGTCCTGCTCTTGTCGTTGACGGTCATCCGGAAGAAGCCACGCATTGCAGAGCCAACCTTGTGCATCCTCTTCTCGTCGAACTTCTCCTGCAGGACGTGGATGAGGATGCGCCAGCCTTCAGGGACTCCAAACGTGCGGGCAGGCACGTCTTCCAAGTACTCGGCTGCATCACCTTCTAATGCAGCATGGAGGCGAAGTCCGATCTCCGAGTCGTCGATGATCTTCTTGGCGATCTCGATGTACGAGTCGACTTTCTGCACCCAATGCTTGAAGCATTTGACATCTTTCTTCCGGTCTCCATCGAAGGCCGGGGCCTGAGGCAGATTGCCTCGTGGTCGATGTCGTGGTCCTCCATCCTCATGAGCTGCCTTCGAACGGGTGCTCGAAGGCGAACTGCCTGCTCCTGAGCCGGACGCTCGGGGAGCAGAGGGGCTCTGACGGGGCCCATTCCGACCAAGACGAAGTCCTCGAGGAGGTCCAGTGCCGTAGGCCTCAGCCAGGTCCTCGTCATCGTCCTCGGGGTAGGTGTCACCGGTTTCATCATCCGGCTCGTTGAAGCTATCTCCACCATGAAGTCCTTCTTCAGGTAGTTCAGGGGGTAGTGCTCCATCGTCATCATCATCATCGCCTTCATGGCGGTCGCCAGCAGCGCCGAAGAGGTCAGCAGCGGCCGGCATGGAGAGCGAGCACGGCGATCGAATCGCTCCGCTGCCAATGCAAGATAGCGGGTTCACACGCTAGGGGGTCATGCGCAGCACAGTCTGCGTCTTTTCGAGCATAGCTCAAGGGCCCTGCGGTCACAGGGTCGTGAGGTTCGAACGACATGGACACATGCCAAACTTGCAACAATAGGGACGTGTCACCAGACTGGTCTCACAAGAGGACAGGTCTCACAACCAGGGGGGGGTCGCAAGTCAGAAAAAACGGTCTCACAGCAAGGAACACTCAGTCTGACAAGAGGCAAGGTCTCACACAGGGTCTAGCAGAAAGGAAAGGTCTCACAAAAAAAAACAACCGTAGATGGACGACATATTCAAATCTTCCAAACCACCTTGACCCCTTCCGCCCCAAAACCCAATGTTGGCAAGACTGCCATGGTGCGTTGGCGAATGGACGAAACAAAACAAACCCAAATATGTTTTGTTGTTTTAAAGTTGCTTTCAACATTGAACTTTGGGGGTAGGGGATTCATGACAGCTCCCTGACCCAGGAGATTGAATATTTCGTCCTGACAAAGAAGGGTCTCAAATGGCAAGGTCTCACACGAGGTCTCACAAAAAGGAAAGGTCTCACAAAGAGCTCACATCCTGGATAGTCACTGTTATTTGTGCGTTTTTGCTGTGCTTTGACAGATTGCTTTGTCTTTTGTCCCTGCGTCTTTTTGGCTCTTGCCACAAACAACAACTGTCTAGGAAAGCAGTGAAACATGCCCTTTAACGTCCGGACATTAAATCCGGGAAGGTTCTCTTGAGCTCGCCCCATTGATTGCAGCTCGCCCCGTTGGTGTTGGGGCCTCGCGTGTCAATCTGTCAGACCTGAAATTCTGTGAAAAAGAGGAAAGGTCTCGCAGAAAGGAAGGTCTCAAATGGCAAGCTCTCACATGAGGTCTCACAAAAAGGAAAGGTCTCACAAAAAGGAAAGGTCTTAGAAAAGCAAAGGTCTCACAAAAAGCAGGGTCTCATGACAAAGAAGGGTCTCAAATGGCAAGGTCTGCACCAGACCTCCTCCATGGCGACCAACGGTGATTTTCTGATGTTTTCCACTTCCACTGATGTAGACTCTTTATTACTAACCCCCTCCATTTGAATTGAACACCTCTTTACATGGGGGGGTTCTTATTCAAGAGTCTACATTAGTTTTTGTTGAGGGAGTGTAGCCATAGCTGTTCCAGCTTGATACCTCGCGTTCTGCAGAACTTGGCCAGGTATTGGAACGCTGAAGGGAAGTGGTCGACGAAGGAGATGTCGAGGACCATGTTCCACACGAGTCTCCAGCGCCTTTTTTTCTGGAACTTCCAAGAACAGTTCTACGGACGAATTGGATTCTTGCCGTTCTTGGTTGTTGCCTCGCCCGTTCCAAGCTGGAAAGACTTGAGCTGAGCTTGCCCTGAAAAGAGAAGCAAGGTCTTCAGCCAAGTGTGCCCAAATGCGGCAGTCGACTGAATCACTTACAGTTTCCTTGAACTCATGGTCGAAGGTGCCAGTCACAGGCTGATTTTGTGCTTCTGGTCATATCGGTTCAGCACGGTTGTGGTGTGCAACACAACCAAACAGTTTTACCCACAATGAAAAAACCTTCAACCAGCCACCTGCACAAGAACCCGCCGAAGCCGCCCGAAGAGGGCACACTACACTTCTGCCACGGCACACTTACACTGAAGGGCAGGATGCACCTTAGTAGTCTCCAGGCTGGCAAAACACACTGCGCTTTATGAACTCTTTTTATTATAGGAACCAAACTCCAAACCGGCCAGCACCACTTGGGACTTGTTCAGCTCGACCCTGGAAGAAGGGACATAGACCAGTCGGGCAGGGGGTGTCTCCCTATTGAAATACACATGACCTATACAGTTACTATACAGCCTGTACATGTAATGAAGCAAACTCCCGGACCCTGGATGTTGGAGTTGACCAGCCATGCAAAACCCTGTAGTCGACATCTCAGTCGATGGATGTATAGAGTGTGGGATAAAGATGGAGAATTATAGATACTTATAGAGTAGTATTGTACCCCTGTCAACACATTTGGCTGAAATTAAAATGTAAACACAAAAGGCTCCTGAAGTTCATGAATCCCGCTCCCCCCGAAGAAAAAAAAAGACAACAGCATGGTCCACCAGTTCAAGCCAAGAAGTTCACGTTCGCTTCTTTCAGTTTGCCCCGAACAGAAGCGAACCAAGAAACACAGACTTCCCCTCCTCCGGATGGATGATCTTTCCACCGATCCGGCCGATTGGTCTCATTCGTCCAAATGCCCGAAATAAGAAACGTGTGAGACACTGACTCCTTCACCAGGGCCCCTGGGGCCATGGCGTGGTTCCTCTTTTCGGCTATGGCACCCCAAGCAGGGGGGCCCTGGTATACCCTATGGATCCACAGATCCACCGGACCGACCTGGTTCGGTATGACTGGGCCCTCCCTCCTGTCTCCCTGTTCACCGTACCTCAGGTTAGGTATGTGGATTCATAGGGATAAATAGATTGTTCGTTTACTGATTAAACCAAACAAAGATACGTTTCACCACCACCACCACCACCACCACCACCACCACCACCACCACCACCA